GTTGAAAATAATTTGCAAAACTTGATTCATATTTGTGATGTTGTTCAATTAGGAATAGATATAGAGGAATAAGTTTTAAATACATTGCTCCACTGAATTTTAAGAAATAAAATCATTATCATGTAATTGAGGTCCCCAAAATAGCCCCAACTTCAAAAAAAATTTCAGAAAAACCAAAAAAGATATTTCAAAACGGTTTTCAATTCCATCACAAGCGATTTCTTGTCCACATGAAAAATGTTAAATTATTGAAGTTGGATCAAATTAAGAATTTGGTGATTTTCCTCTTTCCCACACGGAATTGCCCATAACACTTTATTTTTTTTTAGAGTGTACCGTGATCTAAATACATTCACAGTCATGATTTGAATATTTATCATTAGGCTTATTGTTTTAATTGTATTTTTCCTACTGATATGTGTATCGATCTCACTTTATTGTTAAAAACATTAAACATCACGATTCAGTTTATTTGACAGCGAAGATTTAAAAAAAAAATCAATAAACCATGTCAAATCAAATCAACTCAAATTATATTATAAACTTATGTTCACATCTCACAAAATCTGACTACTTTCAGAAAATATAAAGTACCGAGGAAACTTTCAAGGTATGTAACAGCAAGGCTATATATTATGTTCAGTGATATATTTTGTAGGAACGCGTGTATTATACTCTGTGTAGTTGCTTCTTTTAATTATGATAATCATTTTCACCTTTAAAGGTACTATGTCCCTTTTGCAGCCAACCTCAAATGCTGTAGAACTTTGCAGGAATTATGAATATGTCATGTATGTCCTATCTTTGAAATTTAAACATTAGCAGTGTCCTCATATTCAAATTATGCAAGGAAACCCGTCTACTTGCTAGACTTCACTGTCAGACACTATTGAGTGACTGACTGGCCTTTTTTCTTCTTTGGTAATAACATACATGAAAAGAGTTGTAAAGGGTACATGAGCATTTGTCTACATCAATAACTCACTTCTTGTGATGGCCAAGATTAAACTGATTGAATCTTTGCGCAGCATAAAACGTATGACCATTCAGTACAATTGTCTGAAAATCAAGACTATTACTTTAGGGCTCTATAGCCTTAAAGTCGATTTGACAAGTAATAGTCATTATTTCCCAACTTGAAGACATTTTGAAGCCCCACCTTTTTTAGGGAAGTTCTAAATTGGTATTATCTTTCAAATGCAGTTGGAATTTAACTTTTTCATTTTTTGGGCCTGCAAATGGGACATAGTACCTTTAAAGCCTGGAAAAACCCGTTATCATGAGAGCAAACAGTACATAAAAACGAGCTATCTATACTTGATGACATCATCTTATGTTGAGTACGCATAATATATTCACCATGGCTTTGCATTATTATCGAGCACGGCTCATCGCCTATCTAGATCGGGTCCACGTTATATCGACACGTACTACTGCCAATTTGACCCTGTACACCAGCGGCGGATTCAGGGGGGGGGGGGGGGGTACTGCTATCTACCCCCCCCCCCCCCACTGAGCGAATTATCGGCCGGCTGTTTCGCCGCTAAATATTTTTTCACGAATTGGGCCCCCTCCCCTGCTGCCGGCTTGATCCGCCCCTGCTATACACCCATATATTTGGGAGGGGTGCGAAAAAAAGTGTTTTAATGTGCTTCTCTGCAGTACTGAAATGGAAATTGTGTTTTATTCCTTTATATTTGTATTCTACGTGCATACAGATTTCCATTGATATAAATTTGTATTTTCTTCAGATAGGGTCTTTAAAACCTGGGAAAACCCAATCTCATTAGAGCAAACAGTAACCAATCGCGTTAACAACTATTACACTAACACACCGAGCCTCAAAGTCGACCATTTGCCCTTTTAATCAGGGACTTGCTGATTAAAATATGCACAAGTGATTCTCATTTCTTTATTTGAACTCTACATGGACTTATCCTTCAGTGAGTACGCTTGCCTGTTGTGACATTATCTCCATTTCTGTTCATTCTCTTTCTACATACATGTATGAAAGCTAATACAGTCTAAGTGACTACCACTCTATACGTAAAGGCCACCCAGGGGCCACCTGTCTATACCGTACGTCCCCCAAAAAAACTATACACTTTTGAAATGGCTGCCGAATAAGAAATATATGATTCTGGGGAAAAGTTTTAAATGTATGGAAAGCTCATAAACACAACTTTCACATGACACCAAAAAGTCCGAAAATGATTCATGCTTGGGTGAGCACTGCTCACCTTTGTAAAGGGTATGGAAATTAGGTTGCGCAGGAATTAGCCTTCCAATTTGTGAGAGGTATATCCTTTGGTTACCCATTAACCTGAAAAATAAGTAGCCGATATCTTGGACATTCTTTTTTTCAACAAACCGTATTTAAATATACAATTTACATGATCCCTACCTGGGTATTAGGTAAATCAATGAGATGTTCAACTTATCTTACAATACTTGAAATGTGGGGTGAAGGTTTTTATTCAAAGTCACAGAAGTAAAAAACTAACAGTGTGTAACATGAAAATGACACACAAATGGCTAATTCCTGCGCACCTAATCTTCATACCCTTTACAAAAGTGAGCAGTGCTCACCCAAGCATGAATCATTTTCGGACTTTTTGGTGTCATATATGAAAGTAGAAATAATCACATTTTGATTATAATTCCAACGAATTGGCTCATTCTCAAATTTTTTTGTTACATCAACGGAAAACAAAAGTAAAAATGGTAGTATAACAAAGATAATTTAGTGCAGATGCAAAAACTACAATAATCAAGGAATGGCAAAAATTAACGTACTCTTTTGGGATAAAATAGAGAGATGAATTTAAATTATATATATCGTAATACTATTTACAACTGTTTTTATTTTTCCTTTCTTCCTATAATTCTTGTTCCTTGTTTCACCCTTTTATCAAAGGGAGAAAAAAACACAACAGATTATGATAGTATGACACTGTATGTTTATAATGTATGTGTGTATGTGAGTGTTTAAATTCAAATTCGAATTTAATTATGCTGCTTAAGATCCAAGCGGGTATAACGTCATTCTCCATATTTTGTTAACGAATGATAATGAAAATCAAGGGTATCGTTTATAGTTAACAACAGGCGCGTACGCAGGGGGGGGGGGGGGGGGGGAGGTTGAACCCCCCCTTTGGTATTTTTAATGTGTGTATTTTGGAGGAAACCCCCCCCCCTTTGTTTTGTTTTTTTGTTTGTTTTAATTATTAAAAAAAAATTGTACCAATGGCTGACCTAAAAAAGTTGACCTTACCCCCCCCCCCCCAAAACGGAGCAAAATGTCAATTTTTCAAATTTCGAGACCAAAAAAAAAAAAAGTGCACTCTTACCCCCCCCCCCCCGCTTATTCAATGGCTGGCTGAGTCGTTGCGATTTTTTGGGACCCCCCCCCAAAAAAAGTGTCCTCTTACCCCCCCCCCCCCGCTTATTCAGCGGCTGGCTGAGTCGTTGCGAAATTTTCGGCCCGATTTAAAAATGTTAACCCCCCCCCCCCCCCTTGAAAAAATCCTGCGTATGCGCCTGGTTAACAAACATGTGAGAGTACAGGTGTCAAATTACATTAAACAGAAATGGCCCTGAAAATATACGTACGTCCACGGGCCTCTTTAGGAATATGATACACTGTTGCACACAAAGCTCGAACAAATTATTTTTTCTCCCTCCCCATCCCCTCCCAACGAGATGGTCTCGACAACACGACGCAATCCCGACAGATACTGTTCATAATGTTATCTCAAAGGTTCATTGATCCATAAAGTTTGATCGATAAAACCCCGAGAAAAAAACATAACCATCCGCCAAGAACAAACCACACTGCCACAATCACCACATGAAACGAGAGAGAGAGAGAGAAAGAAAATCAAACCCTGTGGGAGACAGTGAATATGGAATGACAGTATATATTTTTTCTTTGAACAATGCTTGTTTCAATGCTAAATTTCAGCGAGGTCAATAATATGGTAATAATTAATATTCCATATGTCGATAGAAAAAAAATACCCACCAACAACACCCCCAAAACAAATAATGATCTACTAATCTCGTATGGTCGTTTCTATATCTTACAAAAGATTTGATATTGCAAAGTCAAAATATTAATAGTTCAAAGATAAACAGCAACGAAAATGAGCAAAGGTATTAGAAAAAACGAGGTCAAACAAACAAATCTTGAACTTTATATACATTCTGCTTGACATAGATACGACCAATTGGATTTGAATACCAAAATATGACAGATATATCTTACTTCGTTTATTCTTTTTTATCGGGGGGGGGGGAGGGGGGGGGGGGGGGGAGATTATGTTTATTTTCGTGTAGATTTATTATTTTTAAGTAGGTCTATTCGTTTCTATTCGCTTATTCCCAATATCATTATTGCCGGTTAACCGGTTTCGTCATTGGACATCATAGTTTAAATTTCTCATCGTTTAGGTTTTAAAATGGTAATTTTTTTTGTTAGGTGTAAGATTATGTATAGTATTTAAGGACATGGTCGAAGCTACGAGTTTGGTTGTTATACATTGACCGAGATGCACTTGAGGTCGGAGCATGTTTCATTGAACCCAAACACCTTAGTCGGGCCTCACTCTACTGATGGGTAACTCCACGATTACCACCGTCTCTGGATTTATTGGGCAGGCTAAATGGAGTATTATGAATCATAACGATTTAAACATAAACACAAGGGCCCGTATTCTGAAGTCGTGTCTAACGTAGTCATGACTAAAGTTAAACAACTGTTTAGTTAAACAGGAGTTAGACACGACTTCAGAATATGGGCCAAGGTGTTAACCTAAATTTAATTTGTTGATGGAACAGGGCGTTCCATAGGCTAACGGATATGCATTGAATATAATGCTATTATTTATATAAAATCATATACAAACTTCGATATATATATATATATATATATATAATATATACCAAGTGGTAATTGTTCTCCCGGTAAATCATACTGTTGCTTTTTTTAAAAACTCTAGAACACGTAAGGTGAGTAACACACCTTGGAGGATGGACCGTGATAGAGGTGGACATCGGGTCGGCTACCAAGGTGGCAGAGGAAGAGGAGGTCGAGGAGGCTACCGGGGAGGACGAGGAAGGGGTGGAGGAGGAGATGACAGGGGAGGATGGAGGAGGGACGGGGACGAACATGGAGGACGTCGAGATGGGAGAAGGGAAGAAAGAGGAGGAAGGAGAGACGGAAGGGGTGGCAGAGGAGGTGACCATGGAGCAGGGGGACGGAGGAGGGATAGAGAGGAAGAGGGAGGAGATCGCCATTGGAGAGGAGGAGACAGGGGAGCAAGGGGAGGAGGAATAGGCAACCGTCCAAGAGGAGAAGAACAGGAACCTGACGATGCTGGAGCTCAGGGAAATGGGTGAGTTGCTATTTTAAATGACCCCGATACCTTAGTTACACTGACACGACCGACTCATGCAGAAGAACAACAGAACAACAAAACTATGATAGACGTATACAGGCGCGGACGCAGGAAGGGGGAGGGGATTGGGGTCGAAACCCCCCCCCCCCCTCAATTTTTTTTTTTAATAAAAAGAGAAAGAAAAAAGATTATGCTAATGGTTGACATAAAAAGGTGATCTTACCCCCCCCCCCCCCCAACGGAACGAAATGTCGATCGGTCAAATTTTCAAATTGCGGGACAAAAAAAGTGCTCTTACCCCCCCCCCCCCCCCGCTTAGTCGTTGGGAAATTTTCGGACCAACACAAATTGAACTAGACTTTAATTCGTCACTTAGACGAATTAGGTGATACGTATGATAGTGGTTTACATAGCGAATAATGCATTACACGATATATTATTTTGTAAAATGCTTCTCCCATTTATATGCTTCTCCCATTATGATCTATTCATATGTCAAGATTAAATTGTGTCTCCTTGATCATCATGGATCTAGGGAAGATAGATTGAAACAATATATGACCTTTGACCCTGTGCAGTAACCAGTTACACATTTGACTCTAATTTACATCATGAAGAACACCTTTTGACGATTTTTATCTTATTCAAAGAAATGAAAATGTAATTGATAAATGATTATCATCATTATGATAATGATGATCATGATGATCATGATCATGATCATAAGCGCGATTTTGACATCTAATTGAAAAAAAAGAGGGTTGATTTAGATAGCATATAGTCTCAGCTACAACATACTCAAAAATCAACAAAATCCAAGCCGAAATAACGGCGATATTGCTCGCAAAAGACAGGAATGTAGAATCCAGATTTGAAAAAAAAAGTCATCTCCCATAGGGATTACACGCAAAAAGTAATGGATTAAGTGAAAATAGGGTAATAATAAAGTAAAAAGGGTTATTTATGACATTATTTGCGAATCTACGTGTTTAAATAATCAAAGGAGATGGTACAGTGAAGGTCAAAAGGAAAAAAAAAGTGAAAAAAAAAGTGTTGGAGACACCCGGAATCGAACCAGGGATCTCGAGGTTGGAAGTCAAGTGCGTTACCGATATAACAAAACATCTCCCATAGCGATTAATTACACGTAAACGGGAAATGGAATTCAGAAATCCTACTTTGCAAGTGAAATATGAGCATAATCCCGGCATCTGATCGAAATATAAAAGGCACACGTGTGATAGCTTATTGTCTCAGCTACAACATATTCGAAGCTCAGCGAAAACAAAGCTAAAATATGGGAGATTTCGCTCGCAAAAGACAGGAGTGTAGAATCCAGTTTTGAGAAAAAGTCATGTCCCATAGAGAATACACGCAAAATGTGAAAAATTGACATGCCTCCTTTAATCACAAAAGTACGCCTTGATGCCTTAGTCAAAATGAAAAATTGTGGCAACTATACTTGTAGCAAATTGTCTCAGCTAGAACATATCAAAATTTAAAAGAAAATTGATCCATATTTACAGAGATACAATTAATTTTCCAAAAATATGCTGACGTCATAATATGCAAATTGAAATTTTGAGTTTGGAGGCCATTATGATGACATCATGAGTTAATTGAGGGTCAAATGAGACATGAAATCATATCTCCAACTCATAATCTATCTAAATATGAAAACATATTGGGAGTTCCCATCCATTCTGAACAGTTACAATGAATTTTGTATAGGCATGTTTTTGCCAATGTATGGTGGATAAAGATAACGCAGATCTGCGCGTGCTGTCAACTTTGACGGACGCTCATTGCGTTATTAAAAGGTGAACAAGTTATCAAAATGCTTGGAAAAATGTATCAAATATAATGACAGAAAAAATTCGGCGATTCTATATTGCAAAATGCCAGTACGCGCGAAAATGCGCGCGCATGCGCGTGTGCGTAATTTTTTTATCAAATGCTCCATATGGCCTGAAACGGATGTAAAAAAAAATTGGGATGATTTGGAGCATTTTAATTTTTTTCGCGCGCGTAAACGCGCGGACATAAGCGTACGCGCATTTTTGCGCGCATTTATTGACTTGAAATTGACCGGACGGATATTGAGTTTAATCATGATAAATATGAATGAAAAATGGCTTTCCTTTATGAAGATATGATCATAAGTTGATTTTCACAAAATGGCGCCTGGATGACGTCACGATGACCTTGACTGTCTGAAAAGTCACACAGTTCTAAGTTAGACTAAGATCTATCATAATTGAAAGTTTCATGATAATGGCTTTATTCAGTCTTGAGATATCCTGCGAACAAATTCGAGGAAGAATAATAAAAATAAATAATAATAATAAAGAAAAATCTTGACGAAATCAAAAGGTGATACGTTGACTTCGTTACGTATCACCTAACAATATATGTCCTTGCTCCTGAACATTTCCTGGCTAGCTCTCTAATAAACTTCAATTCTCGTTACAAAAGGGGTGTCTAGATTAATGCTTGATGAATTTATGCAAGCAGGACAGTAAAATAATGTCTTTGGTATCTGTATATACAGTGCGTCCCAGAAAAAACGAAACCGAGAAGTAGCGATGTTTTATCATAACTTAATCACAACCATAATTAATGAATGATACATATTTGGAAAGCTTAGAGTCTTCTCTTTCAGTTGATGCTACTCAGATGATGCATATTTCACGCATGAGTGATTAAAAGCAATTTGAAGGAAGGAAACCAAAAGACATTTGGCGGGCGGTATCTGAATTTCGAAGAAAAATTCACATTTCTAGAAAGTTGAGTTTCTGCCCTTTCATATGACACCTCAATCAGGAAAAATGAGCAAAGAATAACAAAGTTCTGTTTGTTTAAAGTAGCCTTTACATTTTCATAATTTTAAGAAACGAATTCGTTTTCACTGGGGGCCTGCCGTAGCAAAAAGCAAATTTTAACAAAAGACTTAACTCCGTTTCGTTGACAATCAGCCACGCATGAAGACTCTCGTCTACGGCTGATTGTCAACGAAACGGAGTTAAGTCTTTTGTTAATTACGTTTATTGATACGGCAGGCAGCCAGTGAAAACGAATTCGTTTAATACAATTATGGAAATGCAAGCACTACTTTAAACAAACATAACTTTGTCATTCCTCTCTCATTTTTCCTGATTGAGGTGTCATATGAAAGGGCAGAAACTCAACTTTCTAGAAATGTGAATTTTTCTTCGAAATTCAGATACCGCCCGCCAAATGTCTTTTTGGTTTCCTTCCTTCAAATTGCTTTTAATCACTCATGCGTGAAATATGCATCATCTGAGAAGCATCACATGAAAGAGGAGACTCTAAGCTTTCCAAATATGTATCATTCATTAAAAATAGTTGTAATTAAGTTATGATAGAACATCGATACTTCTCGGTTTCGTTTTTTCTGGGACGCACTGTAGAGACATAGTGATCGAAATATGATTTAGCTGAAGATAGTAAGAAAATTGGTTGCACCCAAAACTTATTGGAATACTTTCTGTTGTAAAACTCATATTTATGAAAATTAACTAATGAAATATTTTAAGTCTGGAATGTTTCAATGTTGGTTTCATCAAGAAATTATGAGTTGGAATGACATCAATATTATTTTGCTTTTAAAAGCAGAAGCGAAATGTATACGCTTATTTGTAACATTTGGAAATTGGTGTGTCTTACCAAAAACAAACACAACTTTGCAGTTGTACAATAAATCCTTGAGGAATTCACATCGAGTTCAGGAGACACTGCTACAGCATAGCTTAAGAAATTTCATATAGGATGTTTTTTTTGTTGTTGTTGATATGTTGCCAATTAATATCACCTCGCATTTGTTTTGGTACACCCCGTTTGAGATCAAAGGAGGTGAACAAAAGCTAATTTCAAAGAACAAGGTGACGTTGTTCACACGTCTTTTATGAATAACAAGATTGAAACACAATGTTTTTTGGAGAGGATATACAATTGACTTTTCATTCTTCTAATTACGCTAAATATAAACTTTGAAGATTACCTCTGTTTGCTCTTTATCAAATTTCAAAAATGTAGGAATCGGCGCGGCGAACCTCACCACAACCAAGCAAGGGGTCCTCGTGTGGTTCATCCTTTAGGCTATAAAACACTAGAACAGCTTCTGTCAAAAGACCCCGACGACGCAGTTCAAGAGTTAGGTTCTCTCAAGCAAGGTCTGGGCAAGCTTCTAGAAATGACGGATATACGCTATGACGTGATCTCGCTATTGTTTCAGGTCTATCACCATGTCTGCCAGGCGCAGGTGTCCAATGAAACTATCAACATGCTGCTAGATATGCTTGGAAGGAACAACTTCATCAACAGACATCTCACCCGCCATCTTATTGGAATGAGGACCGAGAAAAACCAGAGCAAACTAAGGGTCATGCCTAGATGCATTCGTGATATCGCAATTGTCCTATCAGAGCTACAGCAACGCCTTCCAAGTTCCTTGACAGATGTTGAAGTTGCTGTGACACTCCTTGAAGATGCTGTCAGATACGCAGAGAAGAGGAACATACTTGTCGATGAGACAATTCAAGAAGAGGTACGCCAACTTGTGAAATTTCATGAGACAATCCAACAGGAGAAGCTAAAGAAGACACGTACGGACATCGAACCCACAACACCCCCTCCAGATAATTTCCGTGAGCTCAGTGTGTTTCCAACCTCTAATGAACTTACAGATAATTCTCTTCGTCTTTACCTTCGAAAACACATTAAGAAGGGAAAGTATGAAAGTGTCGAACATTATCTTGACGTCCAATTTCGTCTTCTTCGAGAAGACTTTGTCCGCCCACTTAGAGAAGGCATTAGTGAGTATAAAATAGCAACAGCTCGACCAGGGAAACGTGACAAACGCTTCCAAGACATTCGTCTATACTATGATGTAACACTGGACGAACCACTGTACTCACAAAGTGGAGTTACGTTCAGGATTCACTTCGATGAGACTAAACTCAAAGGCGTTCGTTGGCAATCTTCGAAGCGGCTGATCTATGGATCGCTCGTCATCTTGTCACCTGATGATTTCAAGACCCTCGTCTTCGGCACAGTTGCAAACCGAAAGCCTGAGGATTTGGCTAAAGGCTTCATTGAAATCAAGCTCGAGAGGGACGAAGAAATTGCAGAGATCTTCACTGAAAAGACATTCATCATGGCAGAATCTTCAGCATACTTCGAAGCTTACCGGCATGTCCTGAGCCGCATCAAAAATGTCACTGAGCAGTCAATGCCCCTAACTGATTACATCATATCAGCATCAACAAAAACTAGTCCACCTGCCTACATCCGGAACGATCGCTCCATTGAATATGACTTATCATCCATCGTCTCTGATAAAGTTCCAAACGCAAAGCACACAGCAATGCGTATGAAGACCGTGAGGATTCTCGATGGTCGTGAATGGACAAGACTAGGGAACACTGGTCTTGACGAATCCCAGCTTCGAGCCGTGCAAGCAGCACTTACTCAAGAGATGACGGTCATACAAGGCCCACCTGGTACTGGAAAAACTTACATCGGGTTGAAGATAGTTCACACTCTTCTCGATAACAAGCGTATTTGGAAAGAAGCTCAAGTTCTAGGACTGGCCGGACACGCAGGCCGTTCGAACAAACCAATCCTACTCGTCTGCTATACAAACCATGCTTTAGATCAGTTTCTGGAAGGAGTTGCAGATTATAACAGTGAAGGTATCGTGAGAGTTGGTGGTCGAAGTTCTAGCGAGGCTCTGAAGCGGTTCAACCTCAATTCACTCAGGAGCTCAAAGCTTCGAGAAGAGACACCTCGACACGTGAGACGTAGAATCGGAGAGGTTCGTGGCGAAATCGAAGGTCTCGGGAGAGAAGTCAAAGGCCTTCAGGACAAGATTAACCATACGAGAAAGGGACTACTTCATGAAAGAGTACTCATGAAGCACATGACTGACGCACAAGAAAGAAGCCTCAACCAAGGGAATGTCTATGCAGTAGGTGGCCAGTCCCTTATCGTCCATTGGCTCCTTGGTGATATTCAGATGAGACCTCCACCTGAGGAGCTTGATGTTCCTGCAGATAACGGACCACAAAATGAAGACGAAAATGACGAAGGAGAAGAAGAGCTTGATATCTTAGAGGAGGCGGATCTCCTTGACGAGATGAGACGCCTGGACGTTGACGACCAACGAAATAGAGTATTCACAGGCGATGCGAATGCCAACTTCGATGATGACACTTTGGCTTTCCGACTTAACGACCTTGACAACTTGGAAGCGGGAGGGTGGCAACAAGACCGACGGCAGCTCAGAAATAGGAAGCACAACTTGGAGAGAAAGCTCAGGAGTAATGAAAGAATGTCTGACCGAGAGGCAAACACCGTTAGGAACGTTTGGGGCCTTGAAGAAGGAAACCGATGGAGGTTATACCGCTATTGGGCTCATTTACATCGCCATGAATCTCTTCGTCAGCTCGTGGATATGCAACGGCAATTCACAAATGTTTGTCAGGAGCTTCGCGAGGCACGCAGTCAAGAAGATTTTGAAATCCTCAAAAATGCCTCGGTCGTTGGAATGACAACAACTGGAGCTGCAAAGTTCCATATGCTACTTCAGAGAATCCAACCGAGGATTATGGTGGTCGAGGAAGCTGCAGAGGTCCTAGAAGCCCATATTGTGACTGCATTGACTGAATCATGTCAGCATCTGATATTGATCGGAGATCACCAACAACTTCGGCCAAGTCCTACGGTCTTCAAATTAGCTACGCAGTATAACTTGGACATATCTCTGTTTGAACGTATGATCAACAATGATGTACCTTATCAGCGACTGGTTCTACAACATAGAATGAGGCCTGAAATTTCTCGACTCATGAGGATGGAAAGATTGTACCCATATCTTCAAGATGACGTCTCTGTGAAGAAGTTCGACGATATCAACGGGGTTATGAAGAACATCTTCTTCCTTCATCATGAAATGGAAGAAGATTCTGTGGATGAAATGAAGAGTCACTCCAACATTCACGAGGCAAAGTTCTTGGTAGGACTTTGCAGGTACTTCTTGCAGCAGGGCTACCTTCCAGAGCAGATCACGATCTTGACTACCTATTCCGGTCAACTCTTTGCCTTAAGAGGTTGATGAAAAAGAGTGACTTTGAAGGTGTCAGAGTTGCTACAGTTGACAACTTCCAGGGAGAGGAAAACGACATAATTCTACTCTCTCTGGTTCGCAGCAATAAGCAGGGAAGTGCTGGCTTCTTGAAGATCGACAACAGAATCTGCGTAGCGCTCTCGAGAGCAAGAAAGGGTCTGTATTGCATCGGAAATTTCAAACTCCTCGCACAACAAAACCCAACTGGGCCAAGCTTGTGGAGGGAAATCGTGAAGGATGCTGAAATCTACGGCACCATCGGAAAATCCCTTAAGCTCCAGTGCAGAAATCACACTGAGACACAAAATGAGGTTTCAAGTGAAGCGGATTTCTCAAAAGTCCCAGAAGGTGGTTGTTCCGTACCATGTGAGGCACGTCTTATCTGTGGTCATGTTTGTCGAATGCCATGCCACCCCACCGACATGAAACATGAAAACTACAAGTGCCGTCAAAAGTGCACTCAGACAATATGCACTTTAGGTCATCGATGCATGAAACAGTGCTACCAGCCGTGTGACACGCAGTGCAAAAAACCTGTCGACAAGACACTGCCTTGCGGTCACATCCAGAAAGTGCCTTGCTACAAAAGCAGCTCAGAAGTAATCTGCGAATCTCCATGCCGCAGGAGACTGGATTGCGGGCATCAATGCAAGGAGCTGTGTGGAAAGGGCTGTACAGTGGTTTGCCAGGAAATGATTCGTCATTCTGACTGGCCTTGTGGCCATAATGTCCTCGCCAAATGCTCTGCTGGTCCTGACTCCTGTTCGAAACCATGTAATGAGATTCTGAGTTGTGAACATCCGTGCAAGGGTTCATGCGGCAAGTGCCACCAAGGACGTCTTCATGCATTCTGCCGAGAAAAATGTGATCGTACACTCGTTTGCGGTCACCCTTGCCGGTCGACATGTGCTGCGGATTGTCCACCGTGCTCAAGGAAGTGCGAAAACAGATGTCAACATAGCAAATGCAAGAAAAATTGTGGAGAACCTTGTGTTCCGTGTGCAGAGAGATGCATCTGGCGATGTCGACATTTTCGCTGTGGGGCACAATGTGGAAAACCATGCGACAGACGTGCTTGTAATGACCCTTGTACACTCCTGCTGAAGTGTGGCCACCCTTGCATCGGACTCTGTGGTGAACCATGCCCCAAGAAGTGCAGAATCTGTGATAAGGAGGAAGTTACTAGGATCCTCTTTGGCGACGAAGACGACGATGATGCTCGGTGAGATTTACTTTTTATTTTTCACAAATACATTAAAAAAAGAGATTTTAAGGAGGTTAGGTCCTAAATATGTCATATGTCTTTAGATATATGTTTATATATAGAAGAAACGTGTAAAATATCTTGTGTTAAAGTTTTACTTACGAAATGAAGAGGATGAAATGCTAATTCGAAAAATGGAGTGCAATTGCTTGACAGTTTCGATAAGCAAAAAAATAGAAAGAAACAAAAATAAAGGATAATTACTGATGACGATATGATATAAAAATCTTACCTTTATTTCAAGATTTCAACGATTTAACAATAATATTTCTTCTCAAGTGTCGACAGATAAATGGAAGTAGATCAGTCACGTAAATAAGACGTTACGTCTATATCATCTCTCCTGTTTAGGTTTGTGGAGTTAGAGGACTGTAAGCACGTGATTGAAGCGAAAGCCCTGGACCAATGGATGAAGACGGATAGTGGAAGCAAGGACACGTCAGAGGCGACCTCCATTAAGGTATCAAGAATTAGTTGTCGTGAATATTTTGTTTTACTATTCTGTAAACATTTGCATTGAGAACGCGGTGGAAAACAATTCATTTTTTCTTTTGCTGTTTTGATGAAATGGAATTTGTGACGTCTTTTCATTTCTCTTCCGACACAATTTTTGACTAAAAGAGGTTGCTTCTTTATTGTTTATGTTATTACCATGTTATCTAATCAAACGAATTCGAACATACGATGGGAATCTCGACCCATTTTCAAAACGTGCGTGTTACATTAAAGAGGAATTGAAAGGAAAATGATATCTAAGCCATTTCTGAACTTTTGTGATTCCTTTGACAGCTGAAAGAGTGTCCATGGTGCAAAACACCGATCAGACGCAATATGCGATACGGAAACATCATCAAACAAGCACTGAATGACATCAATGCTGTTAAAAGAAATCTCTTCGGCGACGAAAACACAATCCACAATCTCCGTCAGAGGCTACAAGAAAGAATTCATCGAGAAGTTGTGTGTGCCGAGACAAGGGATCAGCAACTGTTCCTATCATTCGAAACCATGGTCCGTTCGACGTCTGCGTTGAGCCATGGACAAATCACCGCTTTGGAAAACAGAGTCCGCTTCCAGGAGGAAATGATAGACCTGGCTAAAAAATTGCAATCGCTGCGATCTCCATCCCTAAATAAGCAGTACGTTAAGCAGATGAAGAGTGAGATAGTTGTCCTGCAGACTTGGTTGTGTAAGGAGCCCATAAACAGGATGTCCCAACAACAGACCGGTGACGCCAACAGAGAAGCAAAGAGGTTCCACTTGGCCTTGAATCTTTTCCAGATCCTGGTCAAGAAACCAGCTGCTCGTGACAAAGCCAGCGAAGAGGTCAAGGCCGCCGAGCTTCAACTCTTTGACGGAAAGGCTATGACTGCCCAACGAGCAAATGAAGTCAACGATCTACTCAAAAAGATCGATTACAAGTCCGGTGGGTTGGGAATTAGCGAGAAAGAGAGGAAGGAAATAGTCGCCGCCATAGGTCTGGCCAAAGGTCATTGGTATAAATGCCCAAGAGGGCATATCTACGCCATTGGGGAATGTGGTGGTGCCACACAGGCGAGCCGTTGCCCTGACTGTGGTCTAGGAATTGGGGGCACCGGTCACCAACTGACAGAGGGCAATAGGGTTGCTTCTGAGATGGACGGGGCGCGATTTGCAGCATGGTCGGAGGAAGCTAATAACATGGCGAATTTCGAAATGATTCATTAACATTAGAAATAATACTCGATAGCATTCGGTGAGAATATAGGTTGTATTAATATTCTACGTCTCGAAGGCAGCGTTATTTCGCCCTTTTCTCCGATATTCCTCTCTTTCAATTTTAATGTTCTGCATTTTATTACCAGTTGTCGACAGGTACACCGTCGAACTTTAAGTGATGTAGAAATCAACTACACGTTCTCTTGACGTGATTTCTCATGAAATTTTCAATAGAAACTTTTTCGTGCTGACGTAAAGAGAAAAAAAAACGCAATGTGAATTTAGTTATTTTAAGTCATTTTATTTTTGTTTGTGTGATTTCATTCTCGATTATCCTAATCAAGAATCCAGAATAGTAAAGTAACCGTTTAAAGTTCGAAAATTACCTACGAAACAATCTTTATATAATTATACGGGATTTTCTTGTAAATTCATCGATAGAACTGCAAGTTGTATCATTTAGACATACTTATTATTGTAACATTTCTGTCTATGTACTATACCACTTCACATGTAAAGTAAAGTGTATGCTTTATATTGAACGGTTTTTCTGCAATTCGATGAATGGAAACCTGTATAGGGTGATCTTAAAGAGCGTGTCTTCTATTTCCCATTGATGTTATTCAAAATCTTTAAAAACGACGTTATTTCTCAAGATTTTGCAATAGAGGCTTTGTCATGCTGATTTAAAGAGAAAATACAAAAACAATGTGAATGTAGCTATTTTAAGTCATTCTATTTTTGTGTGTGATTTCGTCCTGGATTATCCTAATCAAGAACCCAAAATACAGTGAGAAAATAAAAATAAATTGCTGGAACGTACGAAACAATCAGGCATTTCTTGTAAATTCATTGATAGAACTGCAAGTGGTATCATTTAGACATACTTGATTATGATATTTCTGTCTATGTATTATACCACTTAACATGTAAAGTAAAGTGTATGCTTTATATTAACCCTAATAGGGCCGGGCTATTTGAAGTCTTAGTAGGGCCGGGGGGGGGGCCATTATGGCCCCCCTTAAGATCTCGGCCGCGAAGCGGCCGATCGCCGCGAAAATTTGCATGCATGTCAAGTAAAGTGTAAAGAATAATATGATAATTTCAATTTTTTGAAAAATTCACTCATTTGCATATTTATGGTAATTTATGCAAATAAAGTCATAAAAATCACATTTTTACCCATAAATCATATATTATTCATATTTAAGCATTCTTTTTCACTAGATATATTCATTAGACCATTCTGAATAATAATACGACAAAAAATTTGGAAGAGCCAGCTTATTTCTTATGTTATCCCTTGTTTTGATAATTTCTTATGTATTTCATTGTTTTTTTAACTTATGTATTTCATTGTTTTGTTGTTTTATTTCATCTTTTACTACAATTCAACTATTTTGACTCCCAAAACAACCACCTAAACTTTAATCAAGACCCAATAACCCATGTTTGATCTGTTTTTAGGAAAAATGACTTTTCCATACGTTTTGTACACAAATCACGAAAATGAGCGATTTTCAGGCTGACATGCAAGGACAAAAGGTCACGTGACCTTGTAACCGTAGGTCCGATTTTCAAAAAAATTATTTTAAAAGTTGCGCAAGGCTTGAAAGAAAAAAGTCAGCGAGCGGCGGGGCGCCATCCACATGCGTTCCTGAGCAATCAGAAAAATTGTGGAGGGGGGGGGGGGGCCATAATGGCCCCCCCCCGGCCTTATTAGGGTTAAACGATTTTCTGCAATTTGATGAATGAATTAGTAAATAATCCAAAATTGACCAATGAAGAGCCACATATAATTATTTTGAAAAGCGTGTCTCCTACATGCCCTTTTCCCATTTGTATTTTTCAACAACAAAAAATAACCTTGATATGACCATTTCATAATGTTGATGATACCATAAAGAACCATCAGTCGAAAGTCATATCGAGATGTTTTCATTTATAAATGAAATAACTGGATAATTGTTCAAAGTCGAAAGGAACACATTTTATGGAATCACCTTATTGTTCATCGAACCGTAAAATAACAGGACAAGTATGACAAACAACCTTGAACCGAAGGTTTTTCCACACTCAATAGAGACATACTTCTTTCCCACGTCACATCCATTTTTCAAAACTTGTTACAAGTTACAATTACTGTTTTAAGCTACTGAAATCGTGCATTTGATTGGCTGTGAGCATTTCTTTCTTTTGTCCATTTGATCGTGTATGGTACCATTCTTTATATGAAAAATGCTGTACAATGTATATTTCATGTATTTTCATTTTATGTCTATATAAGAGCAGAACACCTTTGGTAAATCACGTAATTGATATTTTCACAATATTATGTTATGATGGCGGAATGTTTTTGTACTAACAACTGGTACTAAATTAACTTTGAGATAATTGTCCTTAGAACCAACGGTGATGTGTCAAATTTCGCATTTGCTGCCATGATCAGACCGGGGGTGGGGGGGGGGGGGGGGATTGGGTCAATTGTATAATATTGCTTGCGTTAACTTTAGGTGCATTACATCTTACTTAAAGGCAGGGTTTACTACTGCAGCTAGAAGGGATGAGACCACCCAGCGAGCCAGCGAGGCCACTGTGACAGGTGGCTATCTCATTAACTCAGCTCTCATTTAACATAAGAAAAAGAGGATCATGGGGGACCAACAGGCACCGATTTGGGAAGTTTTCTATATAGAGGGAGCAAGTAGGACAGTGTGCCTTTAACGAGTGAATAAAATAATGTATATTACTTGATTATCAGTTGGTAAACTGCAATTATTGTACGTGTGACATATTTTCTTAACGATATGAAGAACTACTTAAGTTTAGTTTAATTTCGGCGACCATCGAATAAATATTCCTGGTATTTTTGACCACACTCTTATTAAGATCAGGAGGTAATGTATTACACATCGGAATGCAAGTGTTTGCAAATGATTGTGAAAAGGATGTGTTATGTTTGTCAACTGCTAGATAAAATATGACATTACGTTATAAATAGCGCATCACTTATCAAATATATAAGTCATTTCAAAACCAATGTGTATATTTTATTGCAGTTATCGTATTATTAGTCTTAAATCCTCAAGTTATTGTTCATGTACGTGCAAAGATGTCTAATTTAGTCATGCATGTTTTGCAAGGTTATGAAAACTGTAAACGGGAAAAAGCTTCGTTGAATTTTAAATTAAAAAAAGAATAAGTTATATTGTTATATCTGAATTAAATTTGGAAATCAAAGATTGAAAAACTCATTGCATAGTGATCGAGTACGTTCCACTTACTCAAATGGTATGTCACAGAGTTGCGTTTTATCGATTAAAATTAATACATCATTTCTGTTTTTATCATTATTATAATTGTTTGCTTTTGATAAATCACTGTACATGTACATTCCTAGTACACTTTCCCTTTACGATAGACGCAGGAAGGCAACACATTAAAAAGAGGGAGAGATATAGAGATGAAGACGCATTGGAACGATTTTTAGTTATGCATACAATGTTACCAATAAAGTTGGAATATTTTTCTTCACCTCCTTTCATTAAAAATAACTGTTACAATTATTCTTGATAACGTTTCTATCTTCTAAAAGCTTTATTGATCAATCTCTACGACCCTTTAGATCTATAAAAGTATGAGAATATATAAATGTTATCTTCATCTATAAATAATAAATCATGTTATCACAATTATTTCATCAAAAGAGGTCGAGAAAAAGTATTCCAACTTCATGGGTAACAGTGTACAGGTGCATGTCATTGACAAACAGTGACAGGCTATGTGTAAGTCTGTTCAAGTGTGAGTCTAGGATTTTCACGCGTGTGTGTGTATGTGTGTGTAAGAGATAGAAGATGCGTGTATATGTGTGTGTATGAGATAGAGAAAGAGAGAGAGAGAGAGAGAAGATGTGTGGGTGTGCGTGTGTGTATATATATGAGAGAGGGGGTGGGAGAGAGAGAGAAAAGGCGTGTATGTTGAGAGAAAGAAAGAGAAGAGGTGTATACGTATAAGATAGAGAAATATAATATGTGTGTTTGATGTGTGCGTGCGTGTATGTGTGTGTTTGAGAGAGAAAGAGAGAGAAGAGGTGTGTATGTGTAAGTGTGGGAGATATAGAGAGAAAATAGGTGTGTGTAGGTTGGGGGGGGGGGGGGATAGGGTGTAAAATATGCAACAATGGCATTTCACAAATTGTATGCGAACGCTTGTTATTATTTCGCAATACCCGGTTATGTGCAATTTCCCCATACAGATGTTGCGCAATAGCATGTAGACAACGTCAAAGCAGCTTTTATTTATTTACCAATACCATATCATATAGGCCTAGACAGGGGCAACGATTTCTTTTCATGACCAGGGGAGGGGGGGGGTGGGGGAGAAATGCGAAGAGCGAGGGAGCATAGCGTAAACTGTACTTGCGTGATACCAACGGAATACACATTTCCTACAATACTTACTTGTAGGCCTACATTTTGAAGGATATTATTCAAGGGAGCGTAGCGACCGAGCGAGACATTTTTTTTGCATTTTTATTAATCGTTAGGCTGCACTCTTGGGCCCTCCAACACCGAAACAGTTTCACGTAGTCTTTATAGTCAGTATTTGCTTTACATATTTTTGCACTTTTTCAAATTTTCCGGGGGGGGGGGGGCGAGTCCCCCATCCCCCAGGATCGCCGCCCCTGGGCCTAGGCATACATTATTTGAACATGGTTGTCTTTCAGGAATTCATGGTATTAATTTACGTTATAATGAATCGGATGCGATTGGAACGATTTTCAGTAAAGCATACATTGTTACCAATAGAGTTCGAATACTTTTCTTCACCTCCTTTCATTACAAATAACTGTTACAATTAATTATTGATAACGTTTCTATCTTTTAAGAGCTTTATTCATTTTGATCAATCTCTACGACCCTTTAGATCTATAAAAGTATGAGAATATATAAATGTTATCTTCATCTATAAATAATAAATCATATTTTTACAATTATTTCCTGAAAAGAGGTCGAGAAAAAAAAGTATTCCAACTTCATGGGCAACAGTGACAGTGTACAGGTGTACTTTTTGTCTACCATGTCATTGACAAACAGTGACAGGCAAATTATGTGTAAGTCTGTTCAAGTGTGAGACTATGATTTTCACGCGCGCGCGTGCGCGCGTGTGTGTGTGTGTTTGAGAGAGAGAGATAGAAGATGCGTGTATGTGTGTGTATGAGAGAGAGAAATAGAGAGAGAGAGAGAGAGAGAGAGAAGAGGATTGTATGTGTGAGTGTGGGAGATATATAGAGAGAAGATGTGCGTGTATGTGTGTGTGTGTGTGTGTGGGGGGGGGGGGGGGGCTAGGTGTGTAAACTATGCAACAATGGCATTTCACAAATTGTATGTGAACGCTTGTTATTGTTTCGCAATACCCGGTTATGTTGAATTTCCCCAGACAGATGTTGCGCAATAGAAAGTAGACAATGTCAGAGCAGCTTTTATTCATTTACCAATACCATATATAGGCCTAGACAGGGGCAACGATTTCTTTTCATGAGCGGTTGGGGGGGGGGGGGGGGTTGGGGGGGGGGTTGCGAGGGGCGAGGGAGCATAGCGTAAACTGTACTTGCGTGATACCATTAGGTTCATGGTGATACCAACGGAATACAGATTTTCTACGATACTTACTTGTAGGTCTACATTTGGAAGGATCTTATGCGAGGGAGCGTAGCGACCGAGCAAGAATTTTTTTTGCACTTTTATTAATCTTAACGCTGCGCTTATGGGTCCTCCAACGCCGAAAAAGTTTGACGTAGTCTTTATAGTCAGTATATGCTATACATATATTTGGCACTTTTTCAAATTTTCCGGGGGGGGGGGGGGGCGAGTCCCCTGTTCCCCAGGATCGCCGTACCTGGGCCTAGGCATACATTATTTGAAAATAGTAGTTGTCTTTCTTTCATGGTATATTTACCTTATGATGAATCGGATGCGCTTCAAAAATTAACACCAATCAATGAAAATTACCTCCTGTATAAGAATGTCGATCCGTTTGAAGGGAACAAAATCATTAATATTATAATCATCATTCATCAGAAATACAGGAAATGCGATAGCAAAATTTCATTTTGATGAGAGAATTACATAGAGTTTAAATGAATTAATTTGACTGCTCAGAGAAGGGTGTTCATCATGATTTTTCACTTTGTAAGTGTACGCTATGATTATAAGAGAGACTTTAAAATTATGCGTGTACATGCGTCATTATTGCATAAACTTGAAAAATATACTGTATTATGTTTACTTTGTCACCTTTGTTGTGTAAACCGTGGAAGCAGGAAACTCCCTGGTGTAAGGTAGGCTACAGTGTATTTTGATCAAAGCATGGTATAAATAAATTCAGCCTCGATGCAAGCATACGTTGATAATGGCATAAGCGAACTATTCACGAAAGGTCACGGTCTTTCAATTCCGGGTGAATCGCGTCAGACATCACGCGACACACGGGGATCCCCGCTCTCGTACGATAACATAATATTACTGTAGACGTGCTCTGTTGAATACCAGATAATGATTACACGCACAGGAATACAAGCATACTTGTATATGGTTGTATAGTTTTTAATTGCAATCATGAAACCACGCTTTACAATTTTTGCGCTTAAATTAATTTTAAAACTGTTTTTATGGAGAGTGGGGGGGGGGGGGGGGGGGGAGAGGGATTTTTTTATATTAATAAGTATCATGCAGACGTTATACACAACAGTATCGCATTTGAAATAAAGAAATATCAATAAAAACAGGAAATACCTTTGAAAAAGAAAAGTG